TAGTATCTGCACTGGCCTTCAGTTTTACTGACCTGTTTTCTGGCGATAATCGTTCGGGATAAGGCTCCAGAAATAAATTAGAATGCATTGAACTTACAGTTCTTAAGTTGTAAACAAAGTCAGTCGCGTAAGTACTTCCGCATGTTCTGGATACGTAATCATGGAAGTCTTCACCGATTCGCGGACACGTCACCGGAAGTGGGAGTGGTACTGAGCCGTTATTTATAACTTTATATTTTATTTTATTATTTTTTGGTTTTACAGGTAATTTTGATTTTTTTATCGGACTTGTCTGTGGTCTTTGAATTATTCTGACCCATGTTCAGTGATTTCCAGAGGGGTTTACACGCTTGAAGGATTTATGTTAGTATTTTGCTGTGGCACAGCTGAGGTTACTTTCAATTTATTGCTAGCAATTTTTTTTTTTGGGTGAGCAACTTCTCACTTAACGAGCAACTTCTCGCAATACAACAGGCAACTTCCTGTGTCTTTCTGCTTTTAATTTACTTTATTCGGGGACTAAGGAAGTCGTTAGTGTATCTCTCTGGATCACTAAGTGAAACTTCGTCAGCATATCCCGTTTCTGCTTTTAATTTTTTTAATTAAATTTTTATTTTTATTTTTTATTGGGGACCAAGGAAGTGTCATCAGTGTATCCCGTTTGGGCCACTAAAGAAAACTTCGTCGGCATATCCCATTTTTTTATGGATCACTGAGAAAGGCATAACACAGTCTTATAAAATAAAAGACGAGTGCCTACCTTCGTCAGGATCCCACTTCTGACACCAAATTGAAGGGAAAATCTCCGTCCCGGGTTTCCTCCGTGGATCGGGTTTCCTCCGAGGCGTGATCACCGATAAGCAGAGTTTTGTCCTTTCCTTATAAGATTCCTAATTATTCAAAGTAACGCTCAAGTATGCCGTTCAGCGGGTTAGTTACAGCGCCGGGAGCAGTTAGGAGAACAAAGTGATACAGAGACTGTTTCAGGTTGCTCTCCCACAATCAACTCAAAGGTTTATTCAGTAGTTACAGCTTATATAGAGGAAAAAAAGGTTCGTGTGTCAGCAGGTTCTCAGTTCAAACCGGTACAGACCAAATAAGGAAACGTCTTCCTGCCTTCTGAGCAAAGAAGTATCCTTTGTGTAGTTTATCAGTTCAGCTACAATTTATGATCATCCCAGCAAAATACACTCCTAGACATAGAATACAGAGTTCTTTCATTAGTGAATTCTGAAACAAACCACCTGGCTTTTAACAAGCTCTTTTCTAAAAGATAAGGAAGGGAGGATGGGAGTAAGGAAGTGGTCTCGTCTCTGTGGTATTTTCGACCTTGGGGTACCAGCCTGTGATTCTTACACATCAATTCTTGGGTCAGAGAGAAAGAGAAAAACAACTAGTAAATGGGCCTTATTGAGTAACAGTTCTCCTGTATAATATCTTACAAAACAATATCCTGTAAATGCTACCATGGTATCAAAATATCACAACAGTGAATATTAATCATGAGGGTAAACGGCCCTGTACACCACGCAGCGAGGTCAGCATATCCACGATATCCTCAGCTCCATGAGTTAACACAAAGTTTCTCAGCTGACTATCTAACTGCCAACTATTCCAGAGACGTGAAAATATCCAGCATAAAGAAAAGTGTAAGAGACCCAGCAGCAGATTAGAATAATAGTTATACATTTAATAAATCACCAAATGAATCCAAGAAACGAGCAAACCTGTTCCGACAATTTGAGTTTGTATTCCTTCAGCTGCAGACTCGCTGCTGTTTAAATGTTTGAGAGGAAGATTAGATATAAAAAAACGTCAAACATAGACTCAGTCTGCCTTCACATTTGATATGAGGCCAGCACGTATAGTGGCTGTGTCCTGTTTTAAGATCATACGTGTAAAATTGTTGTCTGACCTCCGTCGATCCAGCCGCTCAGAGTCCGTGGTTACCATGGTTACTGCATAAGCAGCTATAATGTTAACAGCTGGCACTGAGGAAACCTACCGGCAGCATGGGTGTTTATGTTCTCATTCAAAAGAACTGTCTGAATGGTTAACTGAAGTTAACTTGGATAAATTATAGTTAAGGAGTATCACAGATAACGCCCACGTGAGCTGTGCGACTGTTCACCACTACACTGAAATCAGCAGGCTATTACTGAAATACACGTGCTATATCATAAACTATGATATAAACAGGGAGGTCCTATTAACATGTTTAGTTTTAAAGGACACCTTCCTGCCTTTAGTCTCCTTCATGAGCAGTATTAGTTTTCTTCTAACATTCAGAAGTCTGCACGATGTGTTTCATAGTTTGTAACAAGCCTTTGACAGGTAAACATAACATGACCGAAAAAGCAAAAAAAAAAAAAAAGAGAGAGAGAGTGTTGACATAAGAGAAAATGCTCTCAATTATGGAGACAGGCAAATGGTTCATTTATGTTTGACGTGTGTTTATTCCTCCCTAAATATCGTCGGTGAAGTTTGCCATGCACGTCAGATTTTCCTGCGCATTTTTATACCTCTGCCAACAGAGAGAGAGAAAAATCACATTCTAACAGACAGCTGGTGCTCAGAATACAGTTGAATAACTATTAAAAAACAGATGATATTTAGATGATAGTTCAGTCTAACACATGTGCCACTGAACCATTAAACGTCTGTGAAACTATGCACTTATGAAACGTAACTTTAACCTCAGCCAAACCGATTTGCTCAGTTGTAAATAAAACAGCGAAGTAAACGTGACCCGACAGACAGAACCTGAGTGAATGAAGTCCAGCGTTTAACCACTGAGAGCTAAAACTCAGCTGAGGTTTGAAAGCTGTGTGCCGGTGATTGGACATCAGCCGCTGATGAAGTGCTCTGTAAGGAAGCTCCAGCAGCTCTGCGCTCGGGGAAAACACTATATTTGTCACGGCGAGTGAGAAGAGCCGTGTAGAAAAGGAAAAGGAGGATCCACACGCAGGCAGTCGTGAAGGTGTAAAAGGTGATTTATTGAACACAAAAGGAGAGGCAAACGGCAACACGGAGAACTAAACTATACTGGGAAACAACTAAAACTACAGAGCACAAACCTGAATGAGAATGAGCAGAGGAGAATGATGATGGACAGCAGGGAGAACACACGGGTGAGACATGGTAGATACACAGATGAGGCAGGGATGAATACACAGACGGACCAGCAACAACAATGACGGAAGACATGACTTAAATACACAGAGAACCACAGGGGAATTACACACAGGTGGTGGACACAGCTGGGAATAATCAACAAGACGAGACAGAGGTAAAACTGAACACACTCACATGAGACCCAGACCTTCACAATAAAACAGGAAATGAGAACACCACACCAAGACGCAGACCTGACACTGAGAGACAGACAGGAAATGACATATGAAACTAAACCCACATCGTAAACCCAGATGAACAGAAACATGGAACTCTAATAATAGAAATCATAATCATCACCATAACACGACAAGAGAACAAGAACACAATCCCTGATGCAAACTTAAATCAAAACACAATAAACTCAAAATACTGGGTCCAACGGACCCAGAACCGTGACAATATTTACTTATCTTGTGCAGAAAAATGCGCTGACATTGCTTTATATCGAGCACCGGCTGCCCAGTTAAACTGTGACTATCACCAGGTAACGTAGATGTGTTTCTTGAATTAGCAGCAGGTGTTAAACAGCTGACAGATGAGGAGGAGGATGCATGCAGGTAAACTGAGTGTTTCTTGAATTAGCAGCAGGTGTTAAACAGCTGACAGATGAGGAGGAGGATGCATGCAGGTAAACTGAGGGTCTGTTGAGCTGATCGCTGGTTTCGTGAGAAAAATGTCAGCTCGTTCTTTATGTTGCAGAAGCACAGAGACACAAGACCAGGCGGAAAGAGACGATCGTTCGGTGAAAATGAGAATCTGCGAATGCAACATGTGGAACACGGAGAGTGGAATATGTAAACAAACCGGTTAACGTAACCCCCTGGGTGCACTCTGCATGCTAATTGTTAGCAGAGCTAGTGAAATCTCTGAAAACATCTGAGCACTTTTGCAAACATGTTCTATGTTGACAACCTGACCAGACGTACGTCGCGACATTTGCGGCTAAAACACTGTTAAAAGTGTAGCTGGTGACAGAAAAACGGGGTATTTTAAAACTACACCACCACCATTGCTGCCTGTGATTTGATCTGCATTCTGGGATACCTGGCTGCCCCAAGTCTACACAAGCAATCGATTATCTAGGATCGACCTGTTTTGACTTACTTTGCATGGCAACCAATCAAATGTTATAGATGCTGCATGGGCAGCATTAACCCCGCCCCTGAGTTTGATGCGTGAGGCTGACAGATAAAATTATTTCATGATGAGAGCCAGGCACCAGGACTGCCAAAATGAAATAAATAAATATATCATTAAATAATTAATTAAATGTGTCAATAATTAATTAAAGTGTGAAATACATAAATAATTAATTAAATGTGTCAATAATTAATTAATTACATGTGTCATAACCATTTAATTAATTAATTAATTCCAATTTTAATTAATTATTGCCACATTTAATTAATTATTTAATGGTGTATTTAATTAATTCATTATGGCAGTGCTGGCACTCCATACAACACAGTGTCATCCTCCTGAAAAGGGAACACCATGTGGCGTCAGGTGAGCTGCAAAAGGTGCTGTCAGTCACATGACCCTGAGCCTCAGCAGGAAGTCTGACCCCTTCATAATAAAAGCATGTTCTTCACCTGCACTAATCAGGCTGAGAACACGCTGGGCTGGAGTCACGTGATCGACTTGTAGTTCAAACACAGCTGTTTCCTTTCCTGAGTTCTTATCACATCTCCTAAACACATTTCCTCCACCTCAAAGCGTTTCTAACAAGGAAAAGTGCTCAGGAAAGGAGGTAGGAGACCACTGAGTGTATGTGAACGTGAAGGGCTTTTATTGTGAAATGCAGTTTAAAGTTGTTCCGCACATGCGCGGTAGAGATCCTGCGTGAGCAGAGACTAGTCAGTTTAACAAGTTTGATGATTTGTTTAAAATACAGAACAAAAGTAAACAAAGTAGGACGGTAGGGCATCATGGCGGCTTTATGAACGGTAAGAGGCGGGAACACGGGGGCGACGGTCAGAGGGAGGACATCAACAGGAGGAGGACCGGAAGCTGTTTGAAAGCCGTGAGCGGGAGTTTGTCAGCAGGGGGAGAAACCGGCACCCGGAGCGAAGACATGGACCCCCTGCAGGAGCTCCTGGACCGGGTCAAGCCCAGCACCGAGGCGGTGAGTCCCAGACTGACCCTGTTTGCCCGAACTGAGCGATAAATAACAGTCTACGTACACGCACAGCCCTGCGTACGTAGACTGTCTGCGTCATGACGTAGGCAGAGCAGCAGCCGATCGCTGTTTCGAGCTAATTCTATAGCAGAAATCCACACAGAAAAGAGAATATAAGGATGTGAGCCTGTTCTACATTTATTATTGTGACCTCCGACCTGCTGCTTTGTTTCTTTAGGAGTCCCTGTGGTTAAAGAACATCTTCACCTCCATCTCTGAACACCTGAGTCCTGTGGTGTGTAGCTCCGCCCCCTCGCAGACAGGTGAGTTCCTGTTTGTTTGAAACAGCTGGCTGATAAATCAGCTGTACTTTAAATCCTTAATGACGATGTCCACTTATGAAACCAAATACTATTTAAACCATTATTTAAACAGTGAAAGCAGGGCTCACCTGCCCTCACAGGTGTCATCAGAGCAGTCCAGTGTGTCGATGTGAGTGTGGTTCAAAGGTCAGAGCCATGAAGGTGACCGACTGTCAGTGAGGAACAGGGAGGACTAAGAGTGTGAGGATGAAGAGCAGCTGCTTCCTCAGGTGGTCCCACCTGTTGACACACCAGCTCTGGTGTCCACTTCAGGTGTTCTCAGTGGGCGGGGCTTCAGTTGTTTATGTTTGTGTTTACCCTTTAAACTTTGTTTTCCCAGGTAACCACGGTGACCTCAGCCTCTTCGATCTGAGCATGTGTGCGGTGCAGGCGATCCAGCAGCAGATGTGTGTGGCCCACAGCTTACCTGTCAGCTACAGGTAACGCCCACTGACATCATCGCTGTCGCAGGTCACGTGACCTGGCCTTACCGCTGTCCTCCCGTCTGTCCACAGGCTGCTTTCCGTCTCCGAGCTCGTCTCCCAGCAGCACCTGGCCTGCGTCAGCAACCTGTCCTGGAGCACCAATCAGCAGAGAGCCTGGGCCAGGGAGGCGGAGCTCGCCGTGCCGGGTCAGAGGGCGCTGCCGAGGGTCAACCTGCTGCTGATTGGCTGTCTGAGAGAAGGCCCTGACGGAGAGTACAGGCTGACGGACGCCAGCGGCAGCGTCATGTGTGAGGTGAGTCAGAGGGGGAGGAGCCTAACCTTAACCCATGGTCCATCAGCTGGTTAGTTCTCAGGAGCTTCTTCACAGCAGCGTCACTAAACCGGATCTGGTCAGAACTGATGGTAACGAGGTCACAACAAACTGCAGGTGTTCATGTGCAGCGTGAATGAAATCGAATTCCTCTTTCTAATCTAATCTAATCTAATGTGATCTAATCTGATCTACTGCAGCTATAAAACAAACGGCATCACTGCAGATCAGAGCTGATGAAGCTGTCATCATCAGTACAGGCTTCCAGCATCCACCCAGGACACACTCCGCCTCTCTCTCACCCGCGTCTCTCTCTCTCCCTCATCCAGTGCCTGTCTCTCTCGCCCCGGTGGCTCGATCGTCCTGTTTTCCTCCCTCACTGGAACTACATCCCCCACAATGCATCGGGCCAGGAAGAGGCCGCAGGCTTCTTGGAGCTGATTGGCTCCCCTGTCCTGTTGTGTCCTGGTGCTGAGCAGGGATTGGCTGCTGCTCCTGGAAGGGTGGAGCTAAGCGGAGCGGTGGGAGTCGGAGAGGCCGGCAGGCTGCTGAGGCACAGGTGGGTCACATGACCTCTGAACTGCAGCGGAGTTTCTGAGCAGTGTGTGTGACAGATGTGTGTGTGTGCTCCAGGGTCAAAGGTCAGCGGCTGAGCGTGTTCGGAGAGGTGGGCTCAGTTTGCCCTCTGCTGGCCGTGGCAGGAACGACCTTCTTTTGCTTCACGCTGACGGATGAGTCGCGCTCGCTGCCCGTGCTCGTACAGGTACCAGCTCTCTGAGGATGATGATGGTGAGGAGGGACGATGAAGCTCAGTGTGTGTGTGTGTGTGCAGGACAGCAGCCGGCTCAGCTGGATCCAGCGTGTGTGTGTCGGGCAGAGCGTGTGTGTGACAGCTCTACGTGTGTGTGCGCTACGAGGCTGGAGAGGAAACAACATCCTGTGTGTGACCAAGCGCTCCGAGCTGCACGCCGACTACACGCACACACAGGAACACACACAGGAACACACACACTCTGAGTCCCTGCTGTCACAGCCTGCTGAGGACGACTGTGAGGAGGCGGAGCATGAGGAGGTGGAGCTGGACCAATCAGCTGTGAGGATAAAGCAATCCAAAGTCATCAGCTACCAGGTGAGAGTGCTGTGAGCTCTGATTGGCTACCACAGGTTTGTACCTGTGTGCTGATTACTAAGCCTCCTCTGCTGTGATAGGGCACGGTGACTGAGGTTGTGAGTGAGGGGGCGGGGCTCTACGTGCTGGATGGGAAGGTGGGTCTGTGCGTGGCCTATCAGCCGGCGGCGAAGAGGAAGCTGAGGGCGGGAGACAGAGTGGAGGTGAGTCACATGATGTGACATCATCATGCCCGTTTGTGTTCGTGGAAGCCACGACTAATAAAGTTTGATGGCTCCTCCTCCTGCAGTTGCATCATGCCCACTTCCTGTACCGGCCCTGCCCGGACTTCCCTCCCAGCATGCTTTGCACCTGCCTGCGCTCCAGCCTGAGGGTGACGGCCTTCAGCAGGGCGGGAGGCTCGCCACCCGACAACCGCTGCCCGGGAGATGGGGCGTTACCACGGTTACTGCTGCAGAGAAACACAGATGTGTCCGATTACCTGTGGACCTGTCACCTAAGCTCGCAGCTGGCACACAGGTGAGGCTCCACCCACCACCACCTGTCCACAGTCAGAGACAGCAGAGCCTAACCTTTGTCCTCCTGTCCTCCGCTGGCTCTGGCTTGTTTCCTGGTCCTGGTTCTGGTCTTGGTCCTCAGTCTGGTCCAAGGTGTGTGGAGGCAGCAGTGTGTGTGCTTGCTGTCCTGGAGGCTGATGGAGACTCTGAGCAGAGCTGGAGGATGAGGACGCAGAGACATCTACGCTGAGATGCTGGACGAGCCTCACACCTGTCCTGTGACGCAGGTAGGTCCCACTCTCACCTGTCTTCCTTACAGGTGAGAGTGGAGCATGCTCAGTGTGCTCTGTGTCCCTGCAGTACAGCGTGTCCTCGGCGGTCCGGCAGTACCTCGGTGTGTCGGAGCTCCTGGAGTCCCTGCAGACTGGCTGCTGGTCTTCGGCCCCTCTGAGCTCTCTGCTGCCCCCTGATGGCTCCAACCTGACCTCCGCCCAGATCAACGGGTTCCTGTCCTGGTCTTGCAGGACTCTGTCCTCCGAGCCTCGGGGTGGAGACGCTGTCAGGTAAGGTGACAGCAGCTCCCACATGAAGTCGTGTGATTACGTACCAATGGTTTTTGCCGGTTTGTGTGTCAGGCAGCGCCCCCTGCTGCTGGTCGGCGTGCTGGAGCTGCCGTCACAGACGTCTGAGTTCAAACACTCGATGCAGCTCAGAGACGCCGCGGGAGCTGCAGCCTGCGTGCTGACGGAGAGCAGCGAGGAGGAGGAGGGAGCGCAGAGGGCGGTCTTTAACAGCGCCTGGATCGGTACAATGCACGCACACAGACACACACACAGGGACACACAGCTTTATTCTTTAATGTGTGTGTGTGTGTGTGCTGCAGGTTGTCTGGTGGGTGTGGTGCAGTTCACCATGGTGACAGAGAGATTCCTCCAATCAGATTTCCCCTCCTACCAACACCTGGACCAGGACAGGTTCATCACACACAAACACTGCAGGTACACACACACAACCTGCAGCATGCTGACTGCTCATTGGTCCATTCTGTGATGTAGGAGGGCGTCTGATTGGTTCAGGGTGTGAGCTTCCTTCCTGGTTGTAAACATTATGAGTTAAATAAAGCTGGGTTCAATTCACAGGGTTTACCTGCAGTTCTCTCTGGACCACCTGCACATCCTGAGTCCATCTGTTGCCATGGAGACACACCTGAGACACAAGGGGGAGGAGCCAGGAGGGGATGTCACTGCCAGGAAGCAGACAGTAGAAGAAGAAGAAGAGACTGCTGGGAGTAAGAGGAGGAGAAGAGAAGAAGAAGCCAAGTCCGGCAACCCCTGGCCCCGTGTCTCCATGGTGATCAGGGTGGAGCAGAAGGAGGGTGTGTCCTGGAGGAATACAGGGGCGGAGGCAGAGGATCAGGAGGCAGGGCTGAGACTGTGCTTCTCAGTGAAAGCTGCTGTGATTGGTCCAGTGGTCAGCTGGAGGCGGGACCCAAAGAATGAGCCAATGACAGAGAAAGAAAGTGAACAAAAGCAGGAGAGAAAGGTGAGAGACGCACCTGTGTGTGTTTACCTGAGCTCACCTGGATACACAGTTACGTGTGTGTGTGTGTGTGTGTGTGTGTGCGTGCAGGTGGTGCTGGTGTTCTCAGGTGTGTGTACGCGGTGGTTTCCTGTCCTCCAGCCTGGATGTTTCTACAGACTCATCGCCGCTAACACTCAGGTATCAACCCAGCTTTGATGATGTCACTAAGGGGCGTGGCCAGAGGTTTCCCTCATCGGTCTCTGCTCTCTGATATTAGTACACATGAAGACGTTTTTCAGCTTTAACTGTAGTTGTTCACACACTGAGGTTAATTATGGAGTTCCACAGGGTTCAATGCTTGGACCAGTTCTGTTTACATGCTTCCCTTAGGCAGCATCATCAAAACACAGCTTATACTTTTACTGCTATGCAGATGACTCCCACCATTCCTGTTTGTGGGGAGTTGATCTGACCTGAATCCTTGCAGCTGATTGGCCCATGCGTCTGTCAATCAGGATCCCAGTGTTCTGATTGGCTGTGGAGTTTCTGAGCGCAGTGGGGTGGATCTCCACGTTGAGTCAACCCTACAAGTCAGACGTGGTTGGAGATTCCACACTCTGACACGCCCACTGCTGCTGCCCACCTGCAGACAGGTAACACTCGGTTTGCTCCCCGTCTTCCTCCAGGACCCTTAAACTTTTTTTTTAGAGATTGACAGACCATGTGACTTTCACGCATTGCATTGTGGGTACAAGTGGCAACAAATCAAAACCCTGCATTAAGCGCTAGCATTTCCAGCACTTTGGGGTCCTTCGGGACTAAGTAAAGAATACAAATACAGGCCATTTACCGTTTATTTAAAAAAGAAGAAAAAAAACATTGCTAACAACAAACTGGAAAACAGTTATTCATCACTTGCTTGCTTCAGTACAACCCTTGGGCACATATATGCAGACGTTTCGTGGCTGTTTCGATATCGCTCTCTCTCTTAACCAATCAGATCTGGCTGTGGTAGCAGCTTTAAACTCGGTATGACCCAGGCTGATAGAGGGGCCAGTCTGGATCACATTCCTGCATTTTGTTTCTGGTTTTCCTACAAAACACAACAAAGATTAGCCCGCAAAGCCACAGTGAACAAAGCAGCATAGCAACGAATTCAATTCAAATCAATATAAGACTTATTTGTAACCTACATCATCAATCATGTTGTGATAAATTACGTAATAACTCCAACAGAAGACTTAATAATACAACACAGTTAATAATACAGCAGCTTCTTGCCATTTTTGTGTTTCTTTTTATTACTGTGTGACTGTTTTCGTGTGAAAGCCTGCGTGCGCTAGTACCGCTTGCCACTCGTTCCCACAATCCTTTGCGGTTTTACCCCTGAATGACGTCATATTTTCCATCTCTCTTCTCTGTATTTTCAGGCCGTCCCACCCACAGTCTTGTCCGTCTCAGAGGTCTTAGACTGCAGGTAAACTGCTCGTCCGTCACTGAGTCGCCCCCTGTGGCCATCCGAGGAACTGCAGCTGCACACACACTCTCTTACTGGTGTGTGTGTGTGTGTGTGTGTGTGTGTGTGTGTGTTTGTGTGTGTGTGTGTGTGTGTGTTTCAGCTCAGAGCTGGTGTGTTTTCAGGGTGTGGTGTCTGAAAGGATCAGTGTGAACAACAGGACCGCCCACTCTGGACACACACACTCAGGTACAAACACACAGGTGGTTTGTGTATCAGGCTTTTTCTGCTGTGAAGTTGTAACATGGGGGTCTATGGAGGCGACTCACTGCTGCCTCTGCTGGACACTAGAGGAACTGCAGGCATCAGTGCTTCAGGTCTGAGTCTCAGGTCTGACTGTTAGCTGAATGTGTGTGTGCAGGTGTGCGTCTCACTCTTTGTGACCAAGCTGGGAGGAGTCTGCAGGTGTACCTGGACCTAAGCCACACCCCCTACCCACCTGGCCTGTTGCCGGGTAACACTCTGCTGTTGTCTGGTTTCCAGAGGAGGCTGTCCAGGTGAGACACACATAGACAGGCTTATAAAAGTTTGGACTCTTTATTTGGACTCATTTCCAACAATGTCAGCCCCAATAAAGTTATGGATCATCTTGCATCAATAGGCTGCTGGTTTTCTTTACTGGTTTCAGGTGTGTTAAGATTCAATATTGAGGAAGGGTACAAGAGGTGATCGAAGAATAACCACACCGATCCGGCCGGGTGAAGTCAAACAATGATTTTAATGAATACACGCGTGGGAAGACACTCTGTACGCAGACAGCCAGTAGTCCTCGACTTAATCAAAGCATGAACAGATATTTTATAGCATCAGGGTTTGTTTACTGACGCCCCTTCATACGTCACAGACAGGATATATACATACGTCAAATCAAAACCACAATGACCTTTTAACACAGTTTAAAAGAACATCGTCTTCCATCTTCATAACAGGTGCATCCTGTCACTGCCGGATGCTCGCTTGTCATCTTGACACCTCAGCAGCAGTTCTGCGACAAACTGCTCTTTTTGCCACCCCAAGCAAAACATGATTAAACTTTCCCCCATAAATGATTCTCTAACTAAGTGTGTGTCTGCGTCTGTGTGCTAACCACAATTGCACCCTGTTTCACCTCGCGACTAGCTCCTGACCCCTCACCAGACAGAGAGACAGAAACCACTCTCGTATATGTAATAATCGAACTGAAACTATGGATATGACTTTTACTAAATAAATGTTTTAATCAAGAACCTCTACTAAACATAATAACTGTGTGCATAAGCAGAGAGTTCTGCAAACTCTCTGCAAGCCTGTTTCCTGTCAGCCTGTGACTTTTAGCCTTTCTGAAAGACACACACTGGTAATAATGACAATTATTTAACAATAGCAGTAAAATAATTTCCCTTCTTGACACTCCCTCTCTTGACCTCTGGAACACCAGAGGTCACAATACATTGTGTCCTCACTCAGACCCTCTCTGGTGGTCTCGAACCTCGAGATCTCCAGGATCCTCGCCCCTCTATGTAATATCTGTATGTGTACGCCTACATTATAACCACTTCTTCTAAAGATCAAAAAAATCAAAGCTGTTCTACCCCTTCAACCCTCACTAATTTTCCCTCTAAGAATTATTCACAGCTTTGAAAAACCAGCATTGTATCTTCTAAACAGGATTCAGTTCTGTCATGGTCCTGGGCCATGTTGGCCCAGTATTCTTGGTTCCTTTTATTTTCGCTCCTTATTTAGGCCAGGTTTTCTCAGGTGTCCTATTGTGGTGTTCCCTAAGTGTTTTTTCCCTTTGTGACTCTTACCCCTTGTGCCCCTCTGTCTATTTATGAGCTCTCGTCTCTCTTTGTGTTTATTCCATGTTTCCCCCAGCCTGTTATGTCTGTGTTCTCCCCGTGCTTTCTCTCCTCCTGTCTGAACCTCTGTGTACTTCCTGTTTTACTTTGACAGTCTCTCGTCAGTATGCGTAATGTTGTGTTCACTCCTGCCCTGTCTCGTTATGTTTATCAGTGTCACCTGTGTTCCCCACCTGTGTGTAATCTCCCTGTGTTCTCTGGGTGTATTTAAGTTGTGTCTTCTGTTATGGTAATTGCTGGTTTGTCTGTGTTGTTTCCCCTCGGTCTCCCTGCGTCTCGTTTCTGGTTTGTGTTATTAGCTTACCCAGTTTAGGTTTCCGGTTTCTTGTTTTTCCACCGTTGTAAATAAATATTCACCTGCACCAGAGCTGCCGCCTTTTGGGTCCTTTTCTACAACTCCACACGGCTTGCCTCGCAAACCGTGACAAGTTCACTTTTAATCCTTTAACCTTAACTTAAAAATAACAGTTTCAGTTTTACCATATCCAAATGATCAAAAACCCAAAAGGTCCTAAAATGATCCTAAATTATTAAACAATTAAATTATTAAACCCTAAACCCCCCTTTATCTTGATACATTTCATGTGTCAAGATACTATACAAACTTAAAAATGCTCAGTTTTCCCCACTCATGATCCAATCTATGTCATAAAAAGAAACTTAAAACAGAACAGTTATCAGTCATGTGTTTCTTCAATTAATGGTAACTGAGTTACATCAAAAACATTTCCCCTTTAGCATTTGGCATTCTCCCAACAATATACTATAATCCCATAATCTAACCCCAGTCAACAAAACAAAACAAAAATTTTTCTGGTAAAGGCAAATTGTTTATCCACATTTATTCATCCTCACTCACATTCAGTCACACCTTCACTCACATTCAGTCACACATTCACTCACATGCAGTCACACCATGTATTTGCTGATAGTGGAGCCTCCCGCACGATCAGATACTCCACCCTCAGCAAAATGAGCTCAGTCATTTTTTATTTTCCATAGGAAAATATTTCTTTATGCTTTTGGACTGGATTGACTCGCATAAAATCCTTTCTACAGGGACTTACGACCTTGATCAGTCCCCACAGGTAGCTCTCCTCAGCCAATTGTAATCTGGAAAGCCCCCCTTGTATTTGCTCTTCCCGATAATTTTCAGCGCCGTTATTCACTGTTTCAGGCCTGCTTAAAACAGAAATGAAAAATAGAGCTGATTGTTAGCTCATAAAAACAAAACAAAATCACCTGACAGGTTTTCTTTAAGTGCACTGTTACAAAATAATGGGCCCCTCCCAGACATGTCCATGTTTCCTAAAACTCCCTCTATTAAAAACAAAAATAACAACAACAACCTAACTGACAGAAATAACCCATCACCACAACAACCTTAAACACACAAGTCTTGCCACCACATAATTTCACCTCCTCAATACACCAAAAGTCTCATTAAAACCACACAATTTGCACACAAAAATCACCCCCTTATGCTCTGTAACATACTTCAATTCAGCATAAAACATAACCCCCTTTGTCATATGGCTTCTTCTATTCCTCAATTACAAACACAAATGTATTTTATTAAACATTCACACCATTGTATCATTCATACAAAATAGCAAGCTGTTCTTCATTGCATATGTTTGTGTTCTTAGCCAGGTTTAATCTCTATCTCTGCATTAAACTCCATGAGCTTGTCTTGTCTTTATAAGTTTAATGCATTTTCTGTTTGTGTATGTGAATTTGCATATGGTGCTTTTGCAGTGTGTCAGACTCCTTCATAATTTTGCCTTTAAACAGTCAATTTTCTCCTCCCCAAATTTACTAACCCAAATTCTGATTTCCTACCTTAACTAGCAGCGTTCCTTGTCCTCAGCCAGAAGGTAGGGCTCCACTTGCCACTTTCCACCTCCACCTTAGCCCAGCGGCTTTACCCCTTGAGGTCCCATCCTCTTCACTTCATCTCACCAGTGAGTCGGAGCTCACCGGGACTGAGTGAGGCGAATAATCGTGACTGTGCCTGCCTTAGGTTGTCCCAGGGTTTTCAGGTGGGATCTTACCCGTCATGGGCTATCCAGCCTTCCATACTCACCTGATACGGGGCCCAAGTGGGCAGGGGAGGGAACCTAATTGGTAAAACTAAACACTGAACGTGTTTCGGTTTGTTTACAGAGGTCAGACGGTGAAAGCTTCAGCCTGACCAGGAAAGAATCAGTCCTCTTTAAATCACACTTACTTTAAATGAATTCCTCCTCACCTTCATGTGTTTTGTATTATTGCATCTTATACTGAAAGAGTTCATCCATCGACACATTTGAATCCTGCAACATTTCACCGTGTCAGTTTGTCATGAATTGGACTATTTTAGGATTTCAGTTCATCTTTCCAATAAAGCTGGCAGCTCTGAAACAGCTGTTCTCTCTGAGGCTGTTTTGCATGTAAATAAAAGTGAAATAATTAAATGTTCTGTGAACAGACCGTCCAGTGGAGCTCCTCAGGGCTCTGTGCTTTCACCACTTTGTTTTCTATGCTAATGAGTGTCAGAGCACGTCAGCATCAGTCCTTCAACATGGTCACAGCCTCTGATGAAGGTGTTCAAATGTGGCTTTTAATCCAGGTTTACACTTAAACAGTCTCCATGAAAGGGGCCTCTGCCCTCATTCATCCTGGAGATCACTCGTCTAAACCAACCAACATAAAGAATGTGATGTTTTCAAAGCGAACACGTACACACAGTTGTTATGGATACGATTAAATTTAGGAGCGATGATTCGTGAAATCCTACATGTGTGTTCTAACATGCTTTAATGATGGCACGAGCTGACAATGAATAACATAAAGTTAATAGTTAATCTGCAACAAAACTTTGTCACCGCTTCAGTTTTTGGTCTTTTCCACATACGGTTGTTGTTGTCATGGAAACAGAAACCAATCGGGCCTTGGACGGACGTCGGGAGTTCTTAACAGCAGCTCGTTGTTCATTCTGATGTTGTTTTTTAATTATATTTTATATTTAATATCATATATTGGCCGTTTTCAGCTTTATCTGAAGGGCCACGGGTCAGACTCATCCTGGGCCTGCCGCTCTCAGCCTTACTCTGAGGAAGCCCACAGTCTCTCACAGTGGAAACTACACCGGGGGACCCATCCTTGGGGTGGACCCATTTTTGTTGTAGCGTGTTTTGGGGTTTAAAAGCCACAGAGACGCGGTGCTTAGAAAAAATGCATTTCAGCTGTGCTGATGCTCCTGACACGTTGGAACGTTGGGTTGTGTTGCGTGGTTGAGAGGAGGCGGCAAAACACCTAGCAGGCTAGTCGGAAGAACACACACCCACGCTGGTATCGGTAATCCACGGTGGTTCTTTAATACGCCTTCTTCAACAACCATATAAAAGCCCGGCTGAACGCCTGCGCCTCAACAACATAACGCCCAGCGTTCATACAACCCAAGCGTTGCAAACAAAACAAGAAGAAAACGTAAATCCGTCCCTCGTTAAGCAGAAGCGTGCAGGCACGTGTCCTCATAATCCCAGAGAGAGAGCAGCGGCACAAACTGATGACACCATCAACCCTCGACTTGGGTGTCTTAAAGGGACACCACACCATAGTGGCTGTCACAACGTATAAGACTGGGGAAACCTGCATTCAGCTGGACCTGAAAAACACTATGTCCAGATAAACACAATCAACTTTTGGAGAAAAATAAAAGATTCTTCATCAGACTAACAACTAAAAACATGACACTTACCTTAACAGTGTGGGCTACATCAAATATATT